TGCCACATGTGCCTCTGCCAGTAATAGCAAAGCTGCACATAGGCTCAGGATTCAAGCAGTATACCTAAATCTAAGGGCACTTCGGAACATTTAGCAGGGGTGCTACTTGCCATTTACCGGGCTTGTAGGTGAAGAGATCAGAATTAGGGAACTACAAATCACTGCCCATTGCCCCACATGCTGAATGCTTTTTGTGATTACTGTGACAGAAAGTCATTAACTTTTGACAAAAGCTTGAATACAAACACGACTGACAAAGGAGCAACACGTTGCCTTCAGGACAGAGGCAGATAGAATAGTTAAACTCTAGATGTGGTGTCATCAGAGCATGACTTTAGGTCAAGGAAGTTATTTGAGCGAAAGACAACAAAGGAGCTGACCGGCCAAAAATTTATGGGCAAGTAAGATGTGAAAGGGTTATTCTTAGCTGTGTATTTCTCAATAAACTGAACTACATCAGTGACATACCCTAGCAATACCTCAATTTACTACAGAAAATACTGGTGGTATATCCCACCATTACACTGAGATTCCTGAGTTCTGCAGGAATGCTATGAATGATGCTGGTGAACAACAGCACTCAAGGCTCCTCAAGGATGAACTCCTGGGCAGAAATCTCTACATATTCTGAAGGTTGTGATAAGGATACATTTCCAAGTTTTAGCAGTTTCATAACGATGCATTTACCTAGGGAGAACAAAATGTCTAGGAAATAATGGCAGCTACAACTGACAATTTCTCCCTCTGCCTCCCAAAATGTAACACTTTCCTTCCTTCGATTCTTACTCCTCTCTAGCACCCTTGCCTTTTCCATCTCAACTTCCTACCTTGACACCAACATGCTCTAAATCAACAAACAGTAACTACAGATTAGAAAAGTAAGGCATATCAACAGAAGTTGTTTTACCAGCTTTAATGGCTGCGACATTAACAAACATTTCAACTCAAAGCTAAGAAATTCACAACTCAACAGCTACCTCAAGCAGTAAGAATTTACAAAGGACAACCACACACCAGTGCTTTCACTCATAACATCAGTGCTCTATGGTTACACATTCCAACAGAAACAGAAGTGTGTAAAAACTTTCCTTTTCCAAAGCACAAGGCAAGCAGCTTCTCCGGTTTCTTTTGGGGAGAAGAAATGTAACAGTTTGATATTGAAACCACTAAGAAAAATGCAAGAAGCAGGACTTCCATTCCTTTGCTGACAGTGCCAGTAGCATAGGTTATTTTGACTAATTCCATTGTCTGTGCTCTCCCACTCACTTGTAACAGCACAGCAGTGTGAAGAAATCTTCAAGCCACAGGACAGACTGTACAGAGCAGTCTCCCTCCTTCCGTTCCACTCTGAGGGCTTCTGCTTGTTATGCTCCAGCTTTTTTTTTTTTTTTTTTTTTTTTTTGATCACACCCAACCGCAAGTTCTCGCTGCCATCCAACCTACCGTCCTCTCTCCCAACTCAGCAAATGGGCAGCCCTGCCAGAATTCAGATGGGCCATTTTTAATGAAATGGTACAATATTCCACATGTCTCTTCCTCTTCAGGTTCTGAACACATCCAGCATCTTGTATAACAGCATAAAAATTAGTATTCAAAAATTTCCTAAAACATTTTTGAAACATGAATTAAATTTCAGCTCCATCTTACCACTTTAGCAGAGAAAACAGTTCCAAATGGAGCTTACAGAAACAAAACATATTAAAGAGAAAAAAATCACCCATGTGACTGGGGAAGGTAAGAGGTATGCACAAACCCACAGAAGTCATGCCATTTCTTCTGACCCACAATACTGACCCTTTTTAGAGGGATGTGAAAGGAGACATTATTATCTGATTTACGTAAATACAAGTAGAACAATCAGCTAGTACTAAAACAGAAAAAACCTCAAAGAGCTGAAGAAAAACACTGGAACTGTGGAACAGAAAGGAGATGAATAAACCAACCATGATCTGTACCTAAAAGGGCAGAGTACCCGAAATGTCGCAGTCTTTCAGAGAAATCCTTCAGAAGGATTGGTAGCTATCCTTACCATTTTAATTCTCTATTTTCATTCACGCTTTCACTCTCAGAGCTTTACATACGGCAGAACACAAATGTTACAGATGGCTGAACGCAGTCTGGAGGTAGTCAAAGGCAGGCAGACCCTTAAAACTTCAGCTCTGTAAGCAAGGATGATCCCTACACTGGTAACTTGTACTCCCTGTACTATATTATTTGTTTTACAGTATCGCTTCAACCATGTTTTGTCTGGTATTTTTTTAAGCTTGGTATCCAACAGAAACAGGCCAACACAACTGTCTTCTGTGTGCATCTCCTCTCTGTCCTCTTCTCCAATTCCCATTACCAATAACTGTCAGTTCTTAGACCGTTGCACTGAACTGAGGAAAATGGAGATCCCAAAACATCTAAGTTCCTCTACATTTTTAAAAATACCATTTTTAAGAGAGATTCTTAATTCCTCTCCCCCAAAGAGTGTCCTATTAAAGTAAGGCTATAGGAAAAACAAAATCATTAGACACTAAAGAAGCCATGTAAGACTGAATTCAAAGAAAATGGCCTTCAAAAAATTCTACTGCTTGAAGCAGCACTTACTCTTAAGCACAATTTATAATTGTGTTTACTCTCTCACCTAAGGCTTTGTGATGCTACAGAGTAGGGAGCCTAACTTATTAGAAACTATTCTAGAAGACAGATCAGTAGACAGCTAAACAGACAACAGCATTTAGACAGGGAAATCAACCCCATTTTTTGTACAGGAAAGTCAAGTTCCACAAACCTAGGGGAATTCTCTAGATCTCCCTTACCCACACACTGATGGACTCTACTTCATAAAGCCTGCTTTCATTTTCAAGAGACATTTAACAAGATTCATTACAAAAGGCTCTTAAAGAAATTCAGCTGCCACGGTAATAAAAGGCCCTGCATGGATAGGTATTTGCTTAAAAGAGAGGAAACAAAGAGCAAAACAAATGGTCATTTCTGACAATAGAGTAAGGCCACCACTGAAGTCTCACAGGAATATGAACTGGAGGCCAAATTCTTTGAGACAATCTCACATCTGGAAAAGGAGGTGAACACTAACAATTTGCTGATGACACCAAGTTATTCATGGTAAGGCAGACAGGACCAGCCACAAAGAACAGAAGAATTACCACAGGCTACAGACAACAAAGCTGGCAGAGGGAAATCAGAAAGGTAAGAGTTACCCTCGGGAATCCCAACTTTACACAGACAGCAGTGGGCTCCACACTGAACACTGCAACCCAGGGTCAGCACACACACAGCTGAGCCAATCTGAATCTCCCATCTGAAGAACTAAGGATCTCAATCTCCAGAAGCATTTTTTCCCCAAAATATTTTTGCCACTGACCTTGCATCACCTCTAAGCAACACCTTACTCTGATGGCCTGATTCAATTCATCCACCTGGCAGAAAAATACCCCGCCCAAGCAGATGGTTTTTGCCAGGTAGGGAATTCAACTAGCTCAAGGAAAGGTCAAGCCAGCAGCAGCACTAGCACAAAGGAAAGGGAAGAACTGTGCAGCTGTGGAGAAAGAGCTTTCTCTCTCAGCTGTGGCAGGCTGGCAGATCAGCTCAACCATCTTGTGCAATTCCACTGGCAGGAACAAGCTCTTGCGGTTCTAGTGAACAGATCTAAGACAATAACAATACAAAACTGGCATATTTATCACTTTTAAGATGGAATTTGTTACTCATTTGCAAATGGAATTCTATTTTTCACTTATAAACACTAACACATTGGTATCTTCCTGGTCCTTGGGGATTCTAACCCTAAAAAGGAGAAACCCTCATGTGGGGGAGAGCAAACAGATTCTCAGCTTGTCATTTGATTTTTGTTCAAAAAACACCACTACATGCTGTGCTCTAGTATATTTGAAAAAAAAAAAAGGTATCCATGATGAATTGTTTTGATTTTTATTATTTTATTGTAGAAAAATACTTGACATTTAGAAACATTTCTTACACACACGTCTATTCCTATGTAACTCTACAAAGAGATTTTTTGTCCCTATGAACTGAACAATCTGTCAACACTGTTTTCACTCAGCTAACCTGACAATATAATACAACTCTGCTATACAGAGAGTTACAGAATATACTCATCAGATTTATTTGTAGAATAAATAGCACATATTCTGCTGAAATCCTGCACAGCAAGGAACACAGTTGGCTGGATGTTGCCTCATGCTGCTTTCTAGTAAAACATTACTTTTGGGAACCACCTGAAACAACTTGCCTCTCAGTTGAGGGAGGACAGGCTTAAGAACTCAACCTCTTCTTCTTAATTCTGCAATAAATGACAATAACTGTGTGACTGGAACTCAGAATACACTCCCACATGAAGCTCTTGTGCCTAATAATGATGGCAACTGTGGCTGAAAGGCCTGCCCCATCGAACGACATCATGCAACCCATGCCTTTTTGTATGTTTTAAGACAGAAGACTACGAATCCACCCTGGCCATTGTAATGACGGAACAAGCGTTTGGCAGCTCGTGGCTAGCCAGCACTCTCCATCTTTGGGTATGTAGAGAGCAGCATGTATCAAAGCTGGATGCTTGAAGGGATGAAAAATCTTCCATTTGCACCAAATACGGAATTACCTGTATTTATAAATGGGCATTTTCTTCCAAAATAAGATGGCTTTGAGATTGCGTAATATGAAAGTAGAATTACCAAATTTATCAAGTTTATATTGAACTTACAGTTCAAAACAGGATACACGTGATACAGTTTGGCCTCAGTAAAGATACCCTGATGAATCTATTGTCCAAGGCATCCTGTTATCTCAAGCATACTGTCATTATTAAAAAGCATTTTCCAAAATATTAACATACCTGTAGAGATGCAAATGAGGAAACATTGCAAAACTATCAAAAGTAGGAACATAGTTCCTTCTAAGGTTTGCAAACGGACCTGAGTTAGTGGGTATTCTCTCACAAATGACACACACAAATTGTCAAGTAGCAAGGTCATTACCTACATTCAGATGTTTAATGGGACATGTTGGAAATTAGCAAGTAGCTACAAAAAGAGAAATAAGAAGATCCCCTCTGCAGCTCCTTTTCTTCAGCTCTTTCAGCCAGCTGAAAGTGGTTTCTACCCTAAAAAAAAAAAAAATAAAATAGCGTGGACCTTCCCAAAACAACACAAGTTTTTGGAAGCATATTTTCAGACTGTAAAGTTGCAACACAGGGTCATAATAATGTTCTCTCAACCCCTTTTTTCCTAGAGGAACAAAGAAATATGTTTTTGTAGTCTGATCACATACTCAATACCCAAACCAACAAAGATAAATTAGCTTGGAAAAGCAAAATATTGCTAATAAAGCATATCTCTAGATCTCCTGGACAGAAGTGACAAAACAATTATCTGCTGGTGAACTCAAACTTTGTAGGGTTTCTCTTTCTGTTCCAAGAAAGAAAACCAACTCTACTCCTTTCTAATTTTAGCCAAATGAGCAAACACAGTGGCACTGCAAGCAAGAGGAGATGTCAGTCTGCAATGGGAGAGTTTCAGAGCCCCACATGATAAATTTGCATGACTACAATTAACCCCCCCCAAAACTTTATAAACAAAAGCATGAATTATCTTACACATTTTGGTTGGCATTTTGAGTCCTGAAGCCAGTATGTAAGATTTAGATATGGCACATCCTTATCTCAGCCTTAGATTTCATCATCACCTTCTGTTTTTTGACTCCAAGCACCAGAAGCCAGAGCCCCACCCAAAATACATGGGCAATTCAAGGTGCGGAACAGAGAGCGCCAGATCTCCAAGAGGCTGACCACCCATTCAATAGCACTGCATCCAAACTGAGTCTGACATTCCCACACAACTTAAGTGGATGACAAGTTTGCTGCTTTAACGCAAGTACACCTTGTGTTAACTACAGAGCTAGCAAGTTTTCAGCAGGGTGTTTGACTCTTTTGTGCATTTTACCAGAAAACAATTTACAAATGTTACTATAAAGACATGTTCTTATAGTTTTTAAAAGAACTTTTTGTAGAAAGCCATCACAATTAAGCATTTCTCTCCCACCGCATCCTTACATTTCTATGGGCTCACTTGCCTACTAAAATGATATTTAAAATACCAGTATCTAGCCACCTTCTATCAGAGCAGGTCTTTGCAACAAAGGGAAAGGAGAGCATCCCAAGTCACTAGTGCAAACTTGAGGTACATGTTCTTCTTTAGGAAAGGGTTCTTTCAAATCAAAAATAGTCAGCTGTTACGTTTCCAAACATCCTGAGTAACTCATTTTGTCAACGCAGCCAAATATTTAATGTTCGTAAACCTTCCCAACTATCAAAAGGTGCACTGCGGTTTCAGTGTCACGTAAAAATCTGCACAATACAAAGGGCAGGCTACGGACAGAGACAGCAGCTGAAAAGTTTGGAGACCCTAGTCACAAAGCTCTAATATCAGGGTTTCAGGTGTCCTCAAGTTCCCTCCACAGCATATCATGTGTGAATGTTTAGCCACAAATGCTGTCTCAGAGTGAACTTATCAATGTCAGCATGTTTGTAAAATGTTAGGAACCACCAGCAACCTGAGCTACCAACTACCACATGCTTCGGTCCTCAAATACAAGGGTTGTGGAGAGGTGCTTTGAACCTCCAGAACTGGCACTAACCATTCATTCAGCTGCAAAAATTAGCATTTTCCACCACCCCCTCCAACTGCTGTAAATGCACAAGTGTGTCCACCAGCAGTAGCAATCAAGAATTCCAACTAAACTCTGTGTTGAGCAGCCAGTAAAAATTGCATCCTCTCAGATTAATCATAACCCTGGAGTTAGACCCTCTGTTCCTGCTCACCAGGAAATCCTGCTGCATCATGGGTTGTCTTGCCATTTCAAAAACCTCTGCACCCACTACGTGTATTTTCTCAGGCTGTGCACAAAAAATTCAGAGTTGAGTCACAAAGAAAGAAAGAATAAACTGGCCTCTACCTCCATAAAAGCAAGAACTTCTTCCTATAGTCAGGACACCTTTTGACAGACAACCTGCCTTGTGGTCCAGTGATTTTTTTCATGGACTGATGGATTACATTGTAGAAACACTCATCGAATGACCTTGCTATCTCCAGATGAACAAAAGAACCTCACTAGACACAGCAAAACTGCTTTGGATGCAGAAAATCTGGACCAATCCTTCTCTCCCTGTACCACCCCTATCACTAGTGTAGTAATGTGGAAAAGTTAAGTGAGTCTCAAGATGCCTGAATCCAGACAGTAATGTCATCCATCCCACCAAACACCTGACACAATTTCAGAACAATTGTGTTAGTGGTGTGATCTGGAGAAGGCTTGTTGTTCCTCAACAACTTAACAAATGCTACTACTAGACTAACTCAACAGAGCTACACATACCACAGAATTGTGTGGAACACAACCGAAATCATCAATACTTATAAAGCAGCTCAATTTTGTTTAATTAAACTCACACTGTCTTATCGGAAACTAAGTTTTTTGACATCGATATTGACAGTCACATCCCTGTAAGTTGCTCTATAGCTACAGCTACTATCTTCTTTCTCTGAAGTCACACTTCATCCCAATTGCCACTCAAGCTCCCCGTTCCAGCTCACGAACACATGGAAAGCAAAGGGTGGCTGCCCACCCACCACTTCCCAGCGTGGGCCGGTCACCAAGCGGCCAGCACCCATCACAGAAGTCTTCCTACCAAGCAGGACCCTGGTTATTTTGGCTGTCCAACAGCTCAGGACCCCGGCTTGGTTTTCCTGCCTCTTCCCACCTCCCAGTACCGGTCAGAGGGCACTGCCTACGCTTGGCTTCCCCCGGGCGCCGCAGCTCCCAGCTCCAATGCCACCAGACGGGCCAACCCACCCGCCAGCCCCCCCGGGCTCAGCGCGCTGCTTCTACCACCCTGAGGGGCAGGGAAACGCCACCGCTCCGGGACACGGGACCCTCCCAATATCACTTAGTGCAAGTGTTGCTGCTGCTGCAGAGGTAGTAGTTGCAGCAGACAACAAACACGAACGCTGAAATTAGAACATTTTTTCACAGAACGGGCCGCATTTGGAGCCCTTATACAGCAAAAGGACAGGTTAGTGAAAGCAAGGGAAATTAAAGGTGTCACATATAATCCCACTGAAATTGCATGTGGCAGCTTTAGTAGACTAGCACAAATACAGGATTTTGGGTGGCAAAATACCAGGAATGTACTGACAATTCGTGGGGTTTAAGTGTAGGGTTTGTATCTGAATTCTTACGGATTGTTCCCTTAGGCAATGCTGTTGGACATGATTAATTTGCAGACCTGGTATACTGGTTTGTTGGTTTGTATATAATGTTTGCTCTGGTGCTTAAGTACTAAACACTCCCTTCATATAATTGCTCTTTAATTTTTTTAAATACCTTTTATTACTCATTAAATTTTAATAAAGACTTGAGTCTCTTTGCATATATTTTTAATAAAATTCATTGATATAGTCAGACTGTCTGGCTAAAAAGATAAAGGTGCTCTGATTTTCCAGCATGGACCTTATCATATAGTTTAAAAGCGTAGCAGAAATGTAGGTTGTTTCTATGATACCAACATTTAATTGCCTGCTGTGCACCTTATGTTGCCTTTTCTTCCGCCTCGGCTCGTATTGTGTTACACTAGTCAGACACCCCGTGAGCGTAGATCCTTGGGCACTTGCGGTTGCCTGAACTGTCAAGCACTGAAGAACTGGCAGCACAGTTAAGGTGATTTAACGCAGAGAGTGCTGAATAGGAGTTTGGGAGATTTTCCTGCACCTGATTAGGAACTGAAGGAAAAAACCCACGTGGTGAAAGGTCAGTGCACTGTGCGCAGAGGGGCTTAGTGAAGGTGGTTTGGGTTCAGCCAGATGATGGGTGTGTAGGGATGCTGTGGGTCTCTTGTACCTTTAATGTTCGGGGGAAGAGTGTTATGCTGGTAGTCTCAGCGGTCAGGGGGGTTTGCCACAGAGGAGGCAAAGAAACATCCCTCCAGGGCCTGCCTTTCAGAGCATGGCAATAGCTGACTCCCTGTGTTTGACTTAATAAGCAACTGCAATTTCCATGTCTGCAAATCTTTCATAATAGCATTTCAGACGGCTGGCTGATTTTGACCAAATCTGGCAGAAGATGAGAGTATTTTTCTGTGAGTTTATTGAAATTGATGGTTAGAATCACCAGTCAGATCTCCAAATCTTAATTCCTTCAGGCATGGCAAGAAGGAGGCTCAGTCTCCCAGCCCCCAGTAGTCATGGCATATGATCACCTCTTTCTACCTTGCTGATCAGCATGTGTAGTGATTGGGGGAGGGAAGGGGGGGGGGATGTGTTGTGGGTTTTTTCTTTTAGAAGACATTGTGGCGTGTATTCTGTTAATGATTAGTGAGATTTATTGAATCATTGTGATTATTTGTTCACCCCTGGGAAAATGGGTTCCTGCTCGGGCAGTCGGTGATTTCCATGAGCTGGTGATTTAAATGACTGTCCCAGCTTGTTGTTGGAATTGGGAATGTTTGTTTTGATACATAACATGAGAATTTTGCATAGTGCTTAATCTTCAGCCTTGTTTTAAACTTGATTCAAAATCAAATTATGTTTTTCACAGAAATACAAATAAATCATTTTATTATTCCAGATATGAAGAAAAATAAAAACCTCATGTGATAAAAGGCATTAGCAGAAAGAGAAGTAGCAAGTTTTCTGCATAGGCTGTGCTGATTCCCATTTATTTTAATTTTGTGTCTGGGACAAACATAATGGATTTGAGATAGTGGAGACTGAGATCAGTGCCTGAAATTCTCACTGGTTAAGAAAAACAGGGTCACCAAAGGGTACTGCATGAGAGTTGGCATAACATCTGTCATATACTCGATATTTAGTAGAGAAAATTAAATTTTGGTTTAAGGAATCCTGTTATTTTTTGATCTTTGTTACTTCTCATCTCCTGCCTTTCTCATTTCTCATGTGTTTGTCCTTCCACTTGCCAGACCTTCCAACTGTTAGCATTCTTAGTGCTGAAGAATACTGGAGGGAATACGGCATCTGTATAGAACAGCCATTTTGAGCTACGTGCTCATGATCTATTGTTTTCCTCCAGAGAGATCTCAGAATACATTACGCAGGTCCACTGCTAAATCTGCAACTGCATTTTGTCTCTTTTCTATACCCTTTTCTGTATTTGTTGGGAGAAAATGTAACCTAAGCTCAGGAAGCAAAGAAGTTACCATTGTATGTTAATGGTAAAAAATCAGTTATTTTGGTTTTGTTTTCATGAACCTATACTTGCAGCATGTACTCAGCTTTTTCTTAATGAAATTACTAACTTTATGCAAGTTAGCTCCACTGTCGCTCTAATAATGATGCCTGTTGTGCACCTTTGGTCTTCTTTTCCTCCCACTTATTTCTTTCTAGATCCATATATTGTGCCTTAAATCAAGATGGGTTGGTTTGGGGGTTGGGGGTTTTTTTTTGTGATGTGGGGACAGCAAGGCAGAATTGTGAACTTACAATACAATGAAAATGCTAGGTAAGAAAGGCTATGCTGGTGAAAATCCCTGCCTTCCTGGACTCATTCAGTGCATTTTGCATTTGCATATTAAAAGACTGTGAAATTAACAACTTACCTGAAGAAAAAGTGCAAGTAGCAGATGAGACTGGGATAGATTTCTGGTAGGGGTGTTTTTAAATGAATGATGGGTTGTTTGAGATGCCCACTAGTGCAGCTGGTAACACCTCTTACCCTCTTTCTTTACTCTCCTTGGCATTTCAGCTGTTCCTTTTCAAGTCTCTTGCAGGTTTTAAACTGTGGGCACTCTGGAGTACTCTTTGTTTTCTCAGCTTTGTTTTTTCATCTGAACTCTGCTGAAAATGGGTTGGCAGCAGAAATGTGAGCAGGAGTGCTACCATGGCCTCCTGCATAGACAAGGGTGTTTCTTGTCCACAGACCCTCTAACATCTGCCGGTCTCTGCTTCAGTGAGGTGTGGCAGGGCTGCGAGCTGGGTCTGCTGAAGTGGGGGTAAGGTGGTGCCCCTGGATACCTCCTCGCTTACTTGTGCAGGCCCAAATCAGTGCTGCCGCCTTCCTCCAGAGCTGGGCTCAGTGCCTGCCCCACTCCCACTCGTGGCTGTCCCTATCAGGGAGTCGCTCACCCTGCAGGAAGCCGACCACAGCTTCGTTTGGGTGTCACAGGGGGTTCAATAAACACTCAGCCCCTGAGGAAAATGGAAAAATGTCCCATTCTTACGTAAATTATTTTTGCCAGGAAGCACAGGCGGTGCATGTCTGTCGCAGTCTGAACCTGGGCACGATATTTTTAGTGTTTCTTCACAGAGCTTTTGCATTGCGTTTTGATCTGTGGTCTCCCTGACAAACTGTTCAGTCCAGTTGTCCACTTGACTGTCGTGTTGAACCTTCAGGACTCATATGCTCTGGTGATTCAGTACTCCCTGGTGCCAAGGCCTGCGAGGCTGTCTGTCCCCGTCCCCTGCTGACACCGCTGAGGCCAGACTGCTGCACCCTGCAAGGCTGGGCTCAGCTCCTGGGGATGGATGCCCAGATCTGGAGGATTGGTCTTCCTAGGCATCCTTTCCTCTGCAGTGCTGGTGAGGCAGGACAGCAGGCACAGGATTGTGAATTTTCTTGTCATTAAGTTCACAAAGCATCATGTGTTTTTTGGATTAGTTCCATCAGTAGTTTTGAGAGATGGCTGAGGAGTGGTTTTGGCAAGATGACACTGATTGCTTTCTCTCCATCAAAAGTTTTTTGGGTTTGGTGGTGGTGGTTTGTTCATAATGATGGAGCAGTTGCCAGTTCCCAAGAAGCATGGCCTCAAAGGCATGCTAGGGCTTCTCAAATTTTCAACTTGAAAAACAAGGAGAATGTTTCATGCCACACTTTGGATTACTTTCTGTGCTGAGATGAACGTAACCTTTCCTGTTTGGTGTCTGAGAGCGTCTACTGTTTCTATTTAGACACCCAGACAAAGATGTAGATGACTAAGAGGTGTTTTCCCCTTCTGGTTTGGGATTAAATCTCTCAGTCACAGGTAAGGTCTGCCTCTGTTTATTTGCTGGGGTGAACAGAAGGCAGGGAAGGTTGCATTTTTTCTGCTGCCACTTCATTTGGAAGGGCTCTTTGCACAGGTGGTGGAGGCCGCTGCAAAAACAATTAATCTCAATGCCTCTCCGTCACTGAATTACAGTGGCCCAGTGGTGTCACGCTAGGGTTGGGGACAGCGATGGCACACTCAGTAGACAGCCAAGACCGAGGGGTATTTGTGCCAGTGAAGGCTGGGTGTGTGAAGGGATTGCTTGCGTGGTTTGGGAGGTTGATGCTACCGTTGTCACGCACACAACGCCATGTGTGTTGCTGCATGTGTCGTGGTGTGCACAAATTACAGGCACCAAGGGGAGAGGTCACACTGCTTGTGTAGTGTGAAAGGGACCTTCAATAGGAAACAGAAGGGTGGTGCTTTTGTTGCTGTGGTTTTTAAATATCTGCCGCAGGAAGGTCTAGTTAGTAGTGTCAGTCAGCCCTTCCAAATTTTCCCCAATTAAAAAAAAAAATAAAAAATCAGATTTTCAGAATAAATTGGTTGCAAAATCAATCACTGGAAATAAAAGAATGTTAAAAGGAGAAGGAACTTTTTAACACTGACAAAGTATTGTTCAAAAATAAGTTGTTTATTCATATGATAACTACACTGACATGCTCAGGGATACTCCCTATTTCCCTGTGTTGTTCTCTGTCTAGAAAGAACGTGATCATCTCCTCCAGCCAAATTTCTTCCATAATGAGCAAGCAATTAACAGTAAGTGTGATTCATAATTACAGGCTATTTACTGTCCAAAAAGCTTAGCAAGAGAACTTTCTCATTAGATTAATATACTAGAATGCATTTGTATGTACTATACGTAATAAGAATATATGTCATTTTTTTAAAACTAGTGAATAAAATGAAATTCCATGGTCAGTTTTTAAGAAGATCCAAATGGCCTGACTATCGAAGGTATTTAGCAGTAACTCACCAGAAAATAAAAGCAAAACCAAGAACAATCTACTAGTACTTCAGACTGGGTTGACAAATAGCTTGTAAACACTAGCAGCAGTTACATACTAATGAATCTCTGGCTATTCATTAAAGGAGAAAATAACAGTGCATCTCCATTTTTTTGTTAAGACCCGGACGTTTCTCTGAGGAAATGGATACGTCTTCCCAAAAATACCCAGTCAAAAAGCGAGTGAAAATTCATCCCAACACAGTAACAGTAAAATACACTTCTCATTATCCCCAGCCAGGAGAAGAGGGATATGAGGATGTTAATGAAGATACTGGAGTATTTATGGAGGATAATCCTAAGAAAAGACTACTGAATGATGGGAAAAAGAGAGAAAGGACCTTTTTTGGTGCAACAGACACTGAGCTTCAGCCAGCACAACTGCCAAAACCCAATGAGATCGGGCAATCCCAGCATTTTCCTGAAAGAAATATACTGCAGTCGAGGAAAACATGGGTAGTCCTTTTTGCATCTGCCGTGGCGCACGGATGTGTGGCTCTAATTACAAGATTAATTTCTGATCGTTCCAAAGTGCCATCCCTAGAGTTAATTTTCATCCGTTCAGTCTTACAGGTGCTGTCCATTACTGTGGTGTGTTATTACCACGAGCCTCCCTTTGGCCCCAAAGGCTACAGACTCCGGCTCTTCTTCTATGGGGTCTGCAATGTTATCTCTATTACCTGTGCTTATACCTCCTTCTCAATAGTTCCCCCCAGCAATGGGACCATTATGTGGAGGGCTACCACTACAGTGTTCAGTGCCATTTTGGCTTTTTTACTCATAGATGAAGGAATGGCTTACACAGACATAATTACTGTAGTTGGCAGCGTGTTTGGTGTTTGTCTGGTCATGATCCCCAACATTATTAAGGAGGAAAACTCTTTGCTGAGCACCTGGAAGGAAGCTTTTGGCTACACCATGACTGTTATGGCAGGTTTGACCACTGCGCTCTCCATGATAGTCTACAGGTCAATCAAAGATAACGTCAGCATGTGGACAGCACTGTTCACCTTCAGCTGGACAGGAACAGCGTGGGGAGCCTCCACCATGTTCTTACTTCAAGAGCCCATTGTCCCACTGGATGGAGAAACCTGGAGCTATCTCCTTGCTATCTGCCTGTGCTCCACCGCAGCCTTCCTGGGGGTCTACTATGCCCTGAGCAAGTTCCACCCCGCTTTGGTCAGCACTGTACAGCACCTGGAGATAGTCATCGCCATGGTCCTGCAGCTTGTCGTGTTGCGGATCTTCCCAGGTGCATATGATCTTATTGGGGGAGCGGTTATTTTGGTTAGTGTTTTTTTCCTTGCATGTTATAAACTGTCCTGGAAGAATTTAGGAAGGCAAGATTATCAGGAGATTGTGGATTCTTCCATTAAATGAGCTGCAGTTTTGCTGTCCAGTTCTGGATATGTGACCACGTGAAAGTAACGTATTTCAACTCTGTGGTGTTCTAGCGTAGTGGCCAGGTCCTCTCTCTACTGTTTAAATTCACAGCTGATGTAGCAATGTTGGTGTCTCCAGACTTCCATGACAGGTGAATTTGTTCTAGTGTGTACAAGCACTGACATTTTGTCACAGGAGAAAAGGCTATTTGTCTCCAGCACGTAGGGACTGTGAGAGGAAGCACAGGCTGGCCCACAGAAGTGCAGGCCGAGTCACAGGCATGTTCTTCCTCACCTTCCCTGCACAAGGCAATACAGAGCCGGAGGGATTCGCTCGTGACTCTCATCCCTGTGCAGTGTGCTAGTAGGAAAATGAACAGTAAAACCATTAAAATGGTCAACCAGAGCGTTCATATCCTCTGTAACGCTTCTTATGCTTTGGCTGTAATATTCTAAATGAAGTAACGTTAGTAATAGTTCTGTGGTTAAAACTTGCATTGCCTGTGTGTATAAAGAACAAGTCAGTAAAGCTTTTTTGTGCTTTGTGGTTAAATTTCTGTCTGAATTGACACAGGAAGTCCAGACATCCTGTGGGGGTAAAGGCCCAAAAACTGGATCTCCAGTTGTGCCACAGCTGTGAAGGAAAGGTCCCCAAGAGGTCCATGACAGATAAAAGATCTACCCCTGAAGCAGAGCAATATTGTTTCTATGGAACCACTTTTTCTAAAAGAGGTTTCAACTATTACACAAGGGAGAAAAAAAAAAAAAAGGAAAAAGATGGCATTTGAGATTGAGGTGTGAGCAGCAGTGGTAACACTGAACAGCCTGGCAGGCATCCAGTGACACTTAAGTCGGTGTGTTTGGCTCCTAACGCTTCAGTTAGAAATCAGATTTACAAAAAGCCCCAGGGCTTTAGGGCTCCAAACAGTATTCCTGGCAGTGCTAATATATGGCTAGTAAAGAGAAAGACTGGAGTCTGAGAATCTGCATCCATGGGCTCCCTGCCAGCCAGGACCAGTGGGCACCTCCCCGCTCCAGCAGATGTGGCCTCTGTGCTGGGACACGAGCATTTTCTGAGGGAAAAGGCATTGCTCAGGTGACCCCAACCAGCCCAGCTACCCCCCATGGAAAATACATTTTACTTGGGGAAAAAGCCACAGCAGCAGCAATCACTTTTTATTCCTCTGAACACCCAGGGAGACCAGGTTCCCCAACATCAGTCAGCCCAGCTGGCGATGCTCTTAATCCATGTGACACTCATATCCTCCCATGTCAGTGACGAGAGCGGCCGCCTGGGCCACGCAGGGATGACGTGTTTCCTTGGGTGCTGGAACAGTTACAGCTGCCCCAACAAATCTGTTTCCTTTAGGAGCACGTGGAGCTGGCAACAAGAGCTCTCCCTGCTGTAGGAAGGACAGGAGGAAGAGGAACAGGTAACGCAACGCAGTACCGGGAAGACTCTGCCCAAGGCTTCCCAGCCAAAAAAACCTTTGGTTGCTTAGAGCCCGGGCAGAGCAGTTCCCAGCCCAGCATTTTGAGGAATCTCATTTCCCTCTGGGCAGATGGTCTTTCCTCCTCTGAGCAGTAAGACAGCGGGAAAGCTTCCTTTGGGGAAAGCAACCAGGGCAAAAGACTCCATCTCCTACAGCTTCCATGTCTGTTGCACTCTGGAGGGAGTCGAGCTTTGTGACTCCGTCACGCCAAGGTGCTCGCAGGCAGCTGGGTACGTGCTGGCAAGCAAGGAGCACCTGATGGCAAGGCTGCCCCAACGCCTGCCCCGTGCTGGGGGGGACAACAGGGTCCTGAGAAAGCTCTCTGTGAGCTGCCCCAGCCCCAAAGCAGCAAAGCTTCCCCCTCAGCACAGTTCCCTGCTGCCTCCAACACCTGCACTAGCTTCTCCGCTCAAGCCACGCATGCTGCAGAGCCGTGCCAGCCCTGCTGTGATCCCCGTGAGTGGATTTACAGCTGGGCACACCTAAGGGCACATCGCTGCCAAAACGGGGGATCCCGCTTCCTCCTCCTGCCACCACCAGCCCTGGCTTCCCCAGCATCTGACCTGCAGTCACAGACTGCGGGCTGGGTCAGGTCAACTTAGGGATCAAGTGCAAAACTAATCCTGCCAAAACCTGAGCCCAAATCAACAGAGGCAGTCAGCACCCAGGGGCCAAGCAGGGCACAATCCCACCCCGAGAACCTGGGTGAAGGCTGGGGAGCGATTCCTGGGGTCTATGGGGTTTGGTCCTGGTCCAGCCGCGCCACAGCCTGCACGAGATCCTGCACCACCAGGTCCACGTCTGCCCGCGTGGTGTCCCGACCCATGCTCAGCCGCAGGGCATTTTGCGCCACATCGCAGGGGATCCCACAGCTGAGCAGAATTGAGGAGGGCCTGAAACACAGACACGGGGCTCAGTGGGATTACCTGGAGGGCTGAGGAAGCACACATGTTGCCAGAAGGCTGCACCAAGAGGGAGAAAATCCGCAGCTGCGCTCCAGGCAAACCTGGCTAGACATAAGGCAGACTCTTTTCTGGCAGTGCCAGGTGTTGGAAGAGTACTTCCGAGCTCAGCTGAATCACCAAAGCCAGGAGGCACAAAGCCCTTCCAAGCAGCCGTCAAGCGTTCCAGCTAGGTCTCCTGCCGTAACCTCCTCTGCACCCCTCCAGCCCCTCTGGAAAGTGCTGCGCCCTCTTTGTTACAGGTGACACTGCCCACAGACACCCACGGCCCCTTTCCCTGTCCGCTTTCCCTCCCTGCCACCTGCTCTCCTCTGGGAAGGTGCCCCGGGGCCTGGCAAAGCCGTCTGCTTACCGATCCCCTTTCTCAGAGTGGCAGGCAGCCCCAACGCTGGCAAGAAGCATCTGGCAGCGAGACAGCACCCTTCGCCCTGCAGCACACACAAGCACAGGTCTCCCAGTGCCCAGGCTCTCTCCAAGGGCCGTTGCCTGCCTCATCACCGTGCCCAGGCCACGGCTGAATGCCCACTGGTCTCTAGCCACAGGGTGCTGTGCGGGGGCAGGTGCTTGGCTTCACGGGCACCCTCACAGGGCAGCAGTGGGGTAAGAGCTACCTTGAAGGCCTGGGCCCAGGATGGAGAAGTTAGAGGTGTTGCAGAGTCGTTTGGAGCCTGTAAAGTGGCTGTTGAAGTGGATTCTCTGCTTCCCAAAGGCAGCCTGGAGAAATCCAGAGGGCTGTGAACCACTCCGGGTGTGCAGACAGCTCTGTCCTGATGAGGAGGTGGCAGGGCCAGAGGGACATGCCCACCCTGACTCCAGACCCCGGGAGGGGAGAGACAAACAGGAACCAGGTCTACTCACCTCCAGCCTGGCCTCCAGGTAATCCCGAACATCCCGCATGTGAGCCTCATAGGCCTCCCAGTTCTTGCTCACTAACTCTGCAGCCTGAGGAGAGAAAACCCAGACAGGCTTCGTCAGCACCCACCTGACACCTCCCTCCATGCATGGCCCCCTGGCACATGAGCCCAGCCTGGGAACAACTCCTGCAATTGCCAGGTCCACTGCATCCCCCCAACAGCTTCCCAGTGCCTTGTGCCATGTGGGCTGCATGACTGCCTGCTGCCAGGGCTGCAAAGCCTGCCCATAGTGCTCTGAAGCTCCTTTGACTGGCACCAGAAAGCCCCATCTCCCTTCCCAATAGTTCGCCTGCCCTCCCACACCCCAAGTTCATCGCTCGTAACAACCGGGGAGCACAGGAGCTGGCTCCGTGCTGGCTCTGCCACGCAGCACCCCAGGGAGCCCGTCACCTGTGACCCCATCCGTCACTGACTCACCTGGCCAAGACCAGCGATCATTGGGGTGTTCTCGGTGCTGGAAGGGAAGAGGGAGCAGTGAGTTGTTTCTGCAGCCCCAACCTCAGGGCACAGTCATTCCTGGTGTAGGACCCCCCACCATTGCCAGGGGGTCCTGGACACCCCTCTGCAGTGGCTGGGAAGGTGCAGTTCCACCCTGTGGTTCTTCCTGCAGCAAAGCCTGCACACCAGGCTCCCACAATTCCCACGCACGGATCTACCTCCCCATGCTGGGCTGCCCACCCCAGGGCTGGCAGGTGACACAGCTGCCAGTTCAGCCTGGACTAAGCAGCCGCATGTGGTTTGGCCACCAGCCCAAGGCTCAGCTCTCCAGGCCACCACCAGCCACCTTACCCAGGCCGGAAATTCCTCTCCTGTCCCCCTCCAAAGATCATGGGGTGCAGCGGGGTGGTGGTGCCAGGGCCGCGCACGTACAGCGCGCCGATCCGCGGGCCGTAGAACTGTGGGCAGAAACAGCCACGGTCACCCTGGGGACACTGCCAGGTGCCCCTTTCCTGTACTCCCACCCAAATCTGAGTCCCCTCCGGTGCTGATCCCTGCCCATCTCACAGGGCAGACCTGTCCCTTGGTCTCCTCCTGCTCCCCCTTCCAGACAGGTCCCCTGACACGCAGAGGCCTTCTCCCCCAGCTGAAGACTTATCTTCAGAGACTTATCCAGCAGGAAATCTTTGGCCACTGATGAGGTATCAAGCTGTGGGGCGCACCCAAAGTCTCCCGAACACCCCAACAGAGATGGCTTAGGAAGTGAAGAGCAGCTGGGCCACATGAACAGGGCCATACCTTGTGTCCCACAATGGTGAGGTAGTCCACCCCCAGCTCCTGCACGTCCACACGCCCCTTGCCAATCATCTGGGCTGCGTCCGTGTGCACCAGGATCCTGGGCAGCCCCGCTGCTGCTCTCTGCTGATTGAGGGCACGGACGCGCTGGCTCAGCTCCATTACAGGCTGGTGGGAAGGAACAGGGTCTGTGTCCCAGGGACCGTCTGCTCCCCCTTATCAAGCACCTTTTTGTGAGGATGTCCCTACCCTGTCCCACAGACTCACCATGATGACCCCAGTCTCGTTATTGGCCAACATGATGGAAACCAGGCAGGTGGTTGGCCGGATGGCGGCGAGGACGTCGTCCACCTCAGCCTGCCCACTTTGTGGGGACACGGCCACAAAGGTGGCTTCTGCAAGCCAAAAAACAAGCCCTGAGGTTTTCTGGGAAGCCCAACAGCACACAGGGCTGCCCACACCCTTCTGAACAGGCAGGAAAGCTGTGCATGCAGCTGGCACACAGGCAGAGAGCACAGCAACTCTTGGGGCAGTGTTGGGTGCCAGCGTGAGGGAATGGAGGCCCCATGTGGGGAGTCAATGCCCTTTTTGAGGGGAAAAGGGGAGCATCATGGAGCAAGTGGGTCCCTGTCCTCCTCTGCAAAAATGCCAGCAGATAAAATCCCCCCTCACAAACCCCAGTCTGCAGCCAGACGTTCCTGAGCCGTCCCCTGCGGTCCCTCTGGCACTCACCTGCCAGACTCTCCTTCACCAGCTGCTCCAGTGGCAGGCGGACAGAGTCGTGCTCCACGCTTGACGTCACGATGTGTGGTGTCCCCCAGCTGTCCCCCGGCCTGGCCTGGTTTTCACAGACGTGCCTGCGGGCAGTCTGGATCACCATGTTGTTTGCCTGAAGAGAGGAAGGCAGAGGGGAAAATGAAAGCCCTGAGGGAGTGCAGTGCCCTTTGCGCCCACCCTCCTCATTGCCGCTTGCTTGAGAGATGGTGGGCAGGAGTGTCACCGCCCCGCACAGAGATCACGGCTGCTCCCACCTCTGTGCCCCCCGAGGTAAAGATGATGTCCTCCGGCCGACCTCCCACCATCCTCGCCAGGCTCTCCCGGGCACTGCCAATGAGCTCCTTCGCCTTCCTGCCTGCAGGACGAGACCCCTGAGCTCCCGCAGCTCCGCCACAGGCTCTCATGGCCACGGGACTCGGCTGGACCGCAGCGGGGAGCCAAGGAGTCAGCAGCCCCCCGGGTCCCTCTACCTGCGGGGTGGGAGCTGCTGGGGTTGCCCCAGGCCTGGCGCATGGCGTCCCACACAGCCTGGGCCACCTCGGGGGCCAGCGGAGTGGTGGCGTTGTAGTCCAGATAGATCCTCCTGCGGGGGCAAGCAGAGCGTGAGGGGGCGCCGGGGGCAGGAGCGGGGGACACAGGGCAGGGACCAGGCCTCACCCCTCCGCCGCGTCGGGCTGCGCCTCCGCCGGCTCCGTCCCGGCGCCCATCGCTGCCGCCGCCGCCGCCCTGGCACC